GTAAGTTATAGCAGAGCCTTCAGGCAAATGTTAGAGTAAAACAAAAACTATGGGTAGGTGACAGAGTCTTAAAATGCCCGGGGTTAGCATATCTGGTAAGTTTCAGATGTGAAAGGTAATGAAGACTCCTAAGAAGAATAATACAACTTACGGGGAAATATAGTTGTTTCTTTGGCATGTAAAACCAGCTAATAAAGCCATTTCAAAAATATTTTTAGAAAAAAAAATCTCTAAAGATAATTATTAAACCTATTTCAAAGAAGTCAGTGAATGTTACACTGAGACATAAAAATGGATGATCATAACTTTTATAGAGCACGCCACCCAACTTTCCTCAGAGGTGTAGGCTGTGAGAAGACAAAGAGCTTGGCAAAGAAATTCAAAGGTTAGAAGTGATTTTGGGTATCTCCTTCTGCAGACTTTGTTGGTTCTGAAAGTTCCTGAAGAGTGGGATGGTTGTGGTCTGTTTTATTGATAAAATGTTATGAACAAAACTCCTCCAACTTTACAGAAACTGCCAAAATCACTGAGTTAGAAAGAACATGACATAGTGTGATAACTCTCCCAGGGGGTCATCTAACAAATGGACCCAGGGCTATGCAGGCCCTGAACAAGTAAGAGTCCAAATCAGGGGAACTGCCGTGATTAGAGAGGGGATATAAGGATTATAATAGTGAAAGATCTGGGAGAGGTAGGAAGGATTGGGTTCTGTGGATTGCAGGTTTGTGTGAGTTCATTTTACAAATAAAGAGTTGTTATGATTCTCTTTATAAAAATTATATTTTATTGATTATGCTATTACTGTTGTCCCAATATTTCTCCCTTTGTCCCCCTTCCACCCAGCATCCCCCTACTCCCTTAGGCAATCCCCTCACCATTGTTCATGTCCATGGGTCATGAATATAAGTTCTTTGGCTACTCCGTTTCCTATAGTACACTTTACATCCCTGCGGCTATTCTGTAACTACCTATTTGTACTTCTTAATCCCCTCACCTCTTCACCCACTCCCCACACCACCTCCCATCTGTCAACCATCAAAACACTCTCTGTATTCATGATTTTGTCTGTGTTCTTCTTGTTTGTTTAGTTTGTTTTTTAGATTCGGTTGTTGAAAGATGTGTATCTGTTTCCATTTTACTGTTCAGAGTTTTGATCTTCTTATTCTTAAATAAGTCCCTTTAACATTTCATATAATAATGGTTTGGTGATGATGAACTCCCTTAGTTTTTTCTTGTCTGGGAAGCACTTTATCTGCCTTTCATTCTAAATGATAGCTTTGATAGAGAGAGCAATCTTGGCTGTAGGCCCCTGCTTTTCATGACTTTGAATATTTCTTGCCAATCCCTTCTAGCCTCCAAAGTTTCTCTTGAGAAATCAGCTGACAGTCTTATGAGATTTTACCTGAAGGTAACTAACTGCTTTTCTCTTGCTGCTTTTAAGATTCTCTCTGTATCTTTAAACTTTGGCATTTTAATTATGATGTGTCTTAGAGTGGGCCTGTTTGCATCAATGTTATTTGGGGTTCTCTGTGATTTATGGCCTTACATGCCTATTTCCTTCCCAAATTAGTGAAGTTTTCTTTCATTATTTTTTCAAATTGATTTCCATTTTCTTACTCTCTCTTTTCTCCTCCTGGCACCGCTATGATGCAAATGTTGGACCTCTTGAAGTTGTCCCAAAGGCTGCTTATACTAACCTTATTTTTTTTTAATTCTTTTTTCTTCTTGTTGTTCTTATTAGTTGTTTTTTAATTCCTTATGTTCCAAATCACTTATTTGATTCTCAGCTTCATCCACTCTACTGTTGTTTCCCTGTAAATTGTTCTTTATTTCAATTAGTGTATCCTTCATTTCTGACTGGATGTTTTTATGCTGCTGAGGTCCTCACTAAGTTCCGTGGGCGTTCTTATAAACAGTGTTTTGAACTCTGAATCTGACAGATTGTTTATTTCCATTTTGTTTAGTTCCTTTTTTTTTTTGGAGTTTAAAAAATTTTTTTTAATTTAATCTTTATTGTATTTTTCTCCTTTACCATTTAGTCCATCTCTGGAGTTTTGATCTGTTGCTTCATTTGGGCCATGTTTCTTTGTCTTTTCATTTTGGCAGCCTCCATGAGTTTGTTTCTATGTATTAGGTAGAGCTGCTATGACTCCTTGTCTTGGTATCGTGGCCTAAGGTAGTAGGTGTCCTGTAGGGTCCAATGTCACAGCCTCCCCTATCACTTGAGCTAGGTACTCAAGGTGTGCCCTTTGTGTGGGCTTAGTACACCCTTGTATTTGAGTCTTGGTTGCTGTTGGCAGGTCAATGGGAGGGATTTACCCAGGCCAGTCAGCTGCAAGGGTTGGCTATGACCATTGAGCAACAATCTCTGCGCTCCATGGTGGATAAGCTGTGTGGGGGCAGGGTGGTGGTGCTCTGATGTGGTCTGAAGCTATCCACTGCTTGGGAATTGAACTGGCAACCCTTTTGTTTGCAGGCCAGCCTTCAATCCACTGAGCCACACCAATCAGGGCTTGGGAGAGGATTCTTTATTCTCTTTTCATGTTTTAAATAGACCTTTACCAGAATGAGTGGGCAAAATAGGCACCAAAGAGAAATAGCACAAGCAAATCGTGAGGGTGAAATGCCATAAATGCCTTGCATGAAGTAAGTGCTCAATATTGATAGTTGTTGTTACTATTATTGTTGTAAATTATCAATATCAGCACTGCAAAAGATCAGGTTGGTAGACTTTGCAGATCTCAGAAGAGGCTCCCAGATCACCATTTGAAAGCCCCTGCTTGAATGACAAAATAAAACATCCTCCTGTAAGGGGCTTGTTGATACCTAGAGAGTGTTTGTGTAGTGCTTTAATAGTTTCCAGAGTGCTTTTAAAAATATTACTTCATGATATCACTTTTAGTTAAAGAAGTGACTAGAGTCAACATTGTAACTTTCCCGGTCTTCCTCACCCAGGCTATAGGGACTGACAATGATGGTGCCACTTTGAATGCTCTCTTTTCTAGAGCTAAATCATCAGATATGAATAATATGAATATACTTATGGGGATGTGATGATTGGCTGAGGGTTAGAAAGAGGGAGTGGAGAGTGGAAAGCTGAGATAGGCTTCATTGGAAAAGTATGCAGAAATTCATGATTGACTCATATACTCCAAATATTCTAAAACACCAAAATAGCCATTTTGGAGAGATGACCCAAATAAAGACCAAAAAGCTTGACATAACAGCAATGACAGGAAAGAGTTGAAGAAAGTACATGGGGAGAATATAAGGAAATGACTTGGTTTGAAATTCATGGGCAAGATCAGGGTGCTATGCGCCTCAGAAGAGTGGGTGTAACTGAGGAGTGGAGGAATTTATAGAAAAAAATCAAACTGCAATTTCCCAGGCTTGAGACATTTCCTGTCTTGGATGTCTGGGTCTGTCTCAATGCCCAAATAGTCTTACTTCAAAGTGTTTGTGGGAACAGAAAGGAGACTTGGCTGAGTGTATTTATCTAGTGTTGGGTGGGAGGAGTTTGGGGGGAGTGGGCTGAGGAATAAGTCTGGGTTTAAGAGCACATGGACCACAAGGTGATCATCATTTTTCAGAAGACCAACCTCTAGGGCACTTCTCAGAGGGAAGGAAACCCTGGGAGGGAAGAATTTGTTCAACAGGAGGAAACAAGAATCCTTGAAGCTACTTAAGTGTGTAGTAGGTAAGTCACAGTGGTTTTGGATGCCCCAAGGAACAATATGGACTATCCTTTCTCTTTTAAAAAGTTAAAAAAATGTTTTGAAATATTTTGAACTTTAAAGAAAAATTACAATAATAATAGAAGGAACTCCGGAATACCCTTTACCCAAGTACATTATTTTAAAAAACTTTTTCCCATTTTTTTTATAGTTTTATTTCTTTCCCTCTAAATACACATGTACGCACATACATATAATCTATGTTTTGAACCATTTGGGGTTTGAGAATAGTTTGCATATACCATGCCCCTTGGCTCCTTTGTAATTCAGAGTTCATTCTTTCAGAACCAATATATTCCCTTAAGAAATCATAGTACAATTTTAAAATTCAGTATTTCAAACATTGATATAATACTTCTACCTATTCAACAGAGTATGGCTTTTTTTTTTTTTTCCTGGTGGGGACCGTCTCTTTGATACAGGCTGAGACCGGTTTAGCGGGGAAAAGATGTGAGCCCTTTTGCTCAACTTTCATTAGCATCTTTATTAGTGGAAAAACCTCAGCAAGCCAGTTGTTTGGTTGTCTTTGATTTCATTCTTATTCAATTTTTCCCTAAGAGCACAAAACTAATGAGTATAAAATACCAAGTGCTAAGAGAACTTTAGTAGTAGAAGGGCTCTGGTGTGACAAGGGTCCTGAAATGTGAAACTGAACATCTCCTCTTTCACCTCCCGCCTCCCTGTCTCGCCTCAGCATAGGAGCGAGAATGGACTATAGCATTTTTACTATTTCCTTTCATCTTTTTGGGGGGAAGAGTAAGTAGCAAGGAGGGTAATAAAGAAAGACTTTAATGTGCAAAAATGTATTTGGGATAAAAATAAAGAGATGGTCTCTTATGGTAATTCTAGTCCTTCACTGAGAATAAGGCTATCTACAAGAATTTCTCTCAGGGGAAATTCCTCTCAAGGGAAGTGTGACACTGCGCTTGCTTATCTTCTCAACCAGCCTCTTGGGTTACTTGCTACTAATTTCTGTGTAAGAGTCAGTTGATGTCAACTCTCCCCCACTGTTGCCCCACTTGTGAGCCAATTTCAGAACTGCTTCCCCTCGTCCTTCCCATTCTGCCAGATCCAAACATTAAAACACAGCAGCAGGGAATGTGGTGGGGAGGGGCAGGAGGTGCCTTGAGGGGGACTGAGTGATGTAGGGTAAGGGAAAGGAAACCCCAAAGGCAATGCTGTCAGGGTTGACAGAGTCTAGGGTCTCTGCTAGAGCCAAGTTTCATCTCAAAGTTATTCCTTCCTTTTCCTTCCTCCCCCGGCCAGGCAAAATGAAGCTGACTTTGGTGCAAATCCTTTTCATGCTGCTGCTGCTGCTCCTGGGCCTGGGGATGGGCCTGGGGCTGGGGCTTCGGATGGCCGCAGCAGTCCTGGAAGATGGTGATGAATCTCTGAGTGAATTTTGGTCCAGTGACTCCCAGGACAAGGCCAAGGCCACTAAGGAGGGAGAAGGCACCCGAACAACAGAAACCCTGCTGCTTAGCAACAAAGGGGTGGTCCAGCCTGCCTGGCCAGAAGACATGATCCTCCATGAAGATGAAGTTGGAGGAAACAAGATGCTCAGAGCTGAGGCTCTCTTTCAGAGCAACAAAGACTATCCCAGGCTTGATCTGATGGCCCGGGAATGCAACGCCTTGATGGCACACAAGATGAAGGAGCACAACCACACATGCATAAGCCAGTACACATTCATCCATGAGGAGCTAGATACCGTCAAAGCTGTCTGCAATGGTCCTGTTGTTGCCTGTGAGCTCCAGGGAGGCAAATGTCACAAAAGCTCCCGTCCCTTTGATTTGACATATTGCAAGTTATCCCAACCAGGCCAAGTCACTCCTCACTGCAATTACCTAACTTTCATTTTTGAAAAGTTCATTATTATATCCTGTAATGACATGAAGGTCCAGGTAATTTCAGGATAATGAAGCAACTTTCCTCTTCTTTTTCTTCACCTTCTCCTCTTCCTCCTTCCACTTCCTCTTTTTCATATTGCTTTCTTCCTCTTAGGTTTCTGGCAAAAAAGTTTCTGCCAAAACTTTTGAGGCTGGTCTATTCTTTATCATTCTCCCACGAAAATACAATTCTTCTTTGACCGAGGGTTCACCTAACTTGCATTTTGTTCCTGTGATTCGAAGTGGCAGAATAGGTTGACAATATCTAGATTCTCTAGGTTCTTCCTCTCTTAGATCCTATCTCCTGCTCTAGAAAGAGGTTAGTGAAGAACTGCTCTAGGCTTTCCTGTGGTCCTAGTCATTAGTCTGTTCCCTCCTCTCTTTGTCTTTGGGTGTGAACTACAAGAGTTTAATGCATCCTTTACCCATGTCCTTTCCTACTACCCACCCTGAGCCTTTAGGACAGTAAACCTCCTGGACTTTCCATATAACACTTCTCTGCTATAGATGCAAAGTAAAGTAATTAAATCTCTGCACCTGGAGAATCATGTGGAACACATTTCTTTTTTTTTTCCTTCCTTTTTTAAAATTGGTGTCACTGGTTAACAAAATTATATAGGTTTCAGGTGCACAATTCCACGCAATATCATCTGTACACTGTGTGTTCACCACCCCAAGTCAAGGGAATAGGTTTCTTTCCTGAGTCTGAATATAAGGCCTAAATTTAGGGATTTATGGATCTTCTCATAAGGATCTATGGCCTCACAGATGAAGACAGAACTTGTGCTGGGGCAAGGACGCCCTCTTTGTCTTGACAGTTCTCTACCCTTTTCCCTTTCCTCCATATTTTAGTACCTGTCTCTTTGCCTTGCTTCTTTTTTCCCCCTCTCTTTCCTCTGTTCTTTTCTTCCCTTTTTGGGCCCTCCCTATTCTTTCTCTAAATACTTCAGAATTCACAAAGAGAAGAAGTGTAGAGAAAAAGTTTTTATTCGCTCTCCAGGAAAAGAGGGTCATGGTGTGGTAAAGTACACCAGCGTTGAGAGGTGGGAGCTTTGAACATTTATTGGATTATAATTAGATTAAAAAAGGGTGGGGGTTGCTGTTGTGTGGCCCTTGGGCTGCTGGGGCATTGTAAGAGGAAGCTGCAGTTTGTTCCAATGTTACCTTCTGCCTGTGGCTATAGGGAGTTGTTAGTTCTACTTTTGCTTCCAGTAATTTCCAGTCCTGGTGATAAGCTTGGAAGAGTAAAATGGCAGTAATGTTTAACTAAGTCATAGGCCTGCTCAGCAAATGGTGCCACAAGAGCAAATAGGACTGACTTTATCCTTTCATCCCCCCTCTGATTTTAAAATGGATTTATTCTTAATGACATGGCTCAGTTCCAGTTTCGGGAAGTAGGGAAGTAGTTCTTGTGTAAGAACGTCAGGCGGGCTGGGGATGCAGAGCTGTCCCTGCCTGTGGGTCCGGGGCTGGGTCATTAAGGAGAAGAGCGTGGAATTGGACAGCCTGAAAAGCAAGAGCTGTGGCTGGGGGCCATTTGTGGAGAGAACCTTTCAGAGCTTGGACACTCTGTTGAATGAAGGATATGAGATATTGGAGGAAACATGACCTAAAAACAAGAATAAAGAAAAAGACTGTTATAGGTCCTAGGAAGGGAATTAGTCTGGAAACCAATACCAGATATTGAACTTAAAATCTCAAAAAGGGAGAGGCAGAGTAGTAGGTGAATGACTAACACTGCATCAGTAATTCTCAATAATTCCAAGTCAAAGGATGAAAGGAAAAAATGAAACATTAGCTTGGAAAACTAGAAAAACTAGGATTCAATCAGTTTGTGGGTGACAATTGGACATTGTGATTTCCATTGAAATGCAATTTCTCACCCTAAAATCACCCTAATTTAATCAAAGAGATTTCATTTCCCTGCCTGGTTTGGCTCAGTGGATTGAGTGCTGCCCTGCGAACCAAAGGGTTGCTGGTTTGATTCCCAGTCAGGGCACATGCCTAGGTCCCCAGTTGGGGATGTGCAGGAGGCAGCTACACATTGATGTTTCTCTCCCTCTCTTTCTCCCTCCCTTCCCCTCTCTCTAAAAATAAATAAATATAATCTTGAAGAAAAAAAAACAAAGAGACTGCATTAAGTCCAGTTTCATTTTGGCTTGATTATTTGCACGAACACAACAAGAGTAGTAACTGATTATATAGGTTCTTTCAAATTTGCTTTGCTGGAATTTTACAAGGAACCTTCAGACTGAGCTTTAGTCAGCCTCTCAGGGCAAAGAAGCCAAACCACAAGTTGCTATCTGGCTTTGCCTGAAATACCTATTAGTTTGAGTGGATTCCTCAAGTTCTTGATGTCCCCAAAATGTCTTGAGATTCCTTTATTGCCATCTGTCAGGGAAGCAACCTTGGTTCCTTACCTAGAAAGACTTCCATGAACCACATAACAAAGCAAGGTACCAGGCCATTTCTCCAAGGGTCTTTTAATGGCTTTGAAAGTAAGTTTTAATTATTTAAGGCTTTCTGGTGACATCCAGAGTCCAGGCATGACTCTTTCAATCATGACATTCCAGACAAAGACTTGGTTAATAAAACCGCTTTTGGAAACCAGTGGTATTATAAAGAGAACAGATTCTTACTGGGTTTATACAAACAAACAAATTGCCACAAAAATAATACCCATTAAGAGTTGCCAAATTCTGGAGGGATTAGGTAAGGAGAAAAATATAAATGTTTCAATATTGCTTAATTTACAAATTGTTCTAGGGGAAAAAAGTTTCCATACATCTGGAAAACAGAAAGATTTCAAATTAGCAATATTTTGAACCAAGTCATAAGAATAACAATTATCTTTAGTTCATTTAGTCCCATATAACCAATATTGTTTGTCTTCTTTATTTGCTAGTATTTCCATGAATTCAGTTATTCTAAGTGTTCTATAAATCTTTATTTACTTCGAAGATATGACCTACATAGACACTTGTAATTTAGAGTAAGTTAGAGTCCTTTTCATGAAACTATTCAAAGATACATTTACAAATGCATTCGAGTAAAACAGTGACGGTTTATAAATGATCAAATTTAAAATGACACGGTTGTAGATTCGATTAAAATGTACTTGATAAAGAACTTCGCTTCTTTGTAAAATATAATGTTCCAAAATAACAATTTCTTGATAAGTAAGAATTACTATGAAATGGCATAAAAGAACAGTATAAAGCCCATATTTTTAAGATTTAATACATAATTTTAATATATATAAAGACTTAATAGTATGCAAAGTTTTAAAATACTGTATAGGACTTATCAGAAGTATGAACTGAGCGTTGGAAACAATTCACAAATTCCCAATGTGTGGGTTACAGATACTCAGAGTACCACTGCTTGATGTCTCCGCAGGGAACCAGCACTCTTGGCTTGTCCAGTGTCATTGACAGGACACCTGCTACCCCTGAGAGCACCCTGTTGAACTTGATTTTAAACCTTTGCAAGTTCCTCCCTGGGGCAGGTTGAAATTTCTGGAAAATCTATTTTGATAAAAATATATGTATACAAATAAAATAATTATTATTATTCTGTTTGACAAAGCTTCCTATGTAGTTTTGAGCATATTAAATTGGCCTAATTAGTTCAAAAGCTTCTTTTGTGTCAGAAAAGAACAAATCCTTGAGGTATTCCAGGGGCCCATTGGAATAACCCAAAGTCATTTCTCCATTTTTAAAACATAAACTTTGGGAGGGTTGTCATATTTAACCAAAAGATTATAACAAAAAATTTTTGTAAACAACAATTTCTGGTGATGATCCTCAAAGACTTTAATCAAACTTAAAACCGGTTTTAATATCAAATATTTTGTCTAAACCACAGGATCCTGTTTAATTTATATTATTATTTAATTTCCTTAGACCAATAAAGCATTACACCCTAGTGATGTCATCCGGAGGCAGAAAACATACCACATGTAACATACAAATACATATCACATGAAGACCACACATGTGAAGACTGAACACATAAAGACTATGCACATAATTTGAATTACTAATTTTTGTAAAGAAAGTATAAGATTTCTCTTATTTGCTTTTGACAGCTTTCAAGAAGACCGGAAAAGGGATGGAAGATCCTAAATATCAAGCAAGAAGACCTGTTGAAACTCTCAATAAAAGCTCTAAGGACTGTGAATGAGTGGTGGAAATAGTCTCAGTTCCAAGCAGTTTAGCAGCCGGGAAGAGCCTGGGCGGGGCTGCTTTGGCCCCTGAAAGGTCAGAAACCGGCTAACAGAAGCTATATGCTCCTTATGGAGGGCCGCAAGTTATAGTCCACACCAGCGAGAAACACAAAGAGATAGCAGTGTTTGCCCTGTGCCTGAGGGTGACCTTACCAACGACGAGAGCTTCAGCCAGATGCTCTGGGAATGGATTTACCCGACTCAGACAGGGTACTCAACTCCACTCCTGCCCGTAGCTGTGTTTATCCCGTGCCCTGAGGGGGGATGTACCAACGATCAGAGCACCAAAAGGGAAGGAATGGTCCCTTCGGATGTCAGCAGGTGATCAGTCCCAGGTGTCACCCGGGGACGGTCATGTAGGGAGACTCCATGTTCAGGGAGCAGCCTTACCTTTTATCTCAACATCGACAAAATGCATCATGATGAAGAATTTATTCCACAGCCGACAGGTAGTTTTCCCCGCACCAATGAGGGCAAAACAAAGTAATGGAAGCAACTCCAGGTACCATCAGAATCATCAAAGAATGTCTCCTGAGAGAAATTAGGTAGAGAAAGGGGTACTGGAGCCTGAGGTTTCTTTTTTCACAAATCTAAAACTTTTACAACCTTCACAAACCTTTCTGAAACTCACAAATTTTCTTAATCCCTTTAGAAAGAACAATTTTTAGAATAACTCACTTTCAATCCCTGTCCTTCAAAATTGCATCTCCATGCTTTATGCTATTATTAAAACCATACTCAAGAAATTGAGTTTCTTTCCAACTCGATTTGAACTTAACTTTTAGAGGCCTTAATTTCCCATAATGATTAAAAAATAAGCAACTCACATTCCCTAGACTGACTTATGAGCACATCTCATGACCATTAGAAACAGGTTCCTCTATTGGCAAATACGCTATTGTTTTCAAGAAACACACCTCCAGTAAAACACAAGACACTTATCTATAGCTCCAAA